TCTTCATAATTAATTTTGTTTTTGTATTTTTTTTAAATTTTATAATTGTCATACCCATGAACATAACTAATATCAAATTAAATGCAAATCAATTGCACTCGCTTCACTCACAATTAGCACTATATAATTAATTGAATACTTTAATTAGACTTTTTACCTACAGAAATAGATAATTCAAGAGATGATGAAGCTACTAGTAACTCAAGATTGAGTCCCATCAAATTGTCATAAGAATTCTTCACTTTGATTGAAATAATAATTGATTTAATTTTTTTTCTAAAATTTTGTCTTAATATGCTTATATATGATTAATTTATATCTCAAGATTATTTAATCTTTTTAAATTATATTAAATTGTTCACTTTTTTTTGTTATCCATGTGGTTGAACAACCTAACATAAATTATTTTAAGTAAAAAATTATCAAGTAAAGTAAAATTAATTATTTTTAGTGAATTCTTCTAATGTGCGAACAAATTCATTAGAACAATCCTTTAAATATTTTTATGGCAAAATTACATTCATTCATGAAAATTTATTTGTTAATGTTGGAAATGAAGCCATTATAAATTGGATAAGCATTACATAACAAGTTTGTTAGTCACATAATTGAAATTCTCTTAATAAAACATAACAAGTACCAAGATTAAGAATTTATTTTATTTTATTTTTAAAATTATGTATTTTTATATTTTTATATAATAAAAATTTACGTATAATAAAATTTTTTAAATAAAAGAAAAATTAAGTTTTCAATTGATAGAACATATAATTACATTCAATTGATGAAAACATCAATAGAAGATTATCCTAAATAGAAAAATGACACGAAAGATTGATTAGTTATATATAACTTCATCTTTTCCATATGATAAAGAAGGTTAGTGTTATATAATGTTCAATGACAAATATACAAATATATTAGTTTCAAATTTCTTTAGGATCAATATGAAACTCTTTTATTTGGAAAAAAAAAACGTTGTATAATCCTTCATTTTCTCCCTTATGTCAATTGAAAAATATTTATTGTTGTATTAAAATTTTTAAAATTGCCATATTAGGTAATATTTGTTCAAAAGAATTGAAATTCACCGAATTAATTATCACTATTACATTTAATATAAAAATATTATTATAAATTATAATTTAAGTAAACTTAAAAGTGATTTAAAGGCATTCATCAGCAAAATTCATTTGATAAGTCTTTCTTTAATTGTATATTTAGTATTTCAATCATTTTGAATTTTGAGTTTTAATAATTTTGAGTTGAATTTTAGACTTAAGATCAACGACCAATTTGGTTGAGCCAAGTTTTATCATTTACTTCTAGTTATACTGTACTCAATTATTCAGTTTTGCAAATGAACAAATTTGACTCAATAATTGGTATATTTTTTTTATTTAAAAAGCTGGATTCAAATTGTCTTAAATTCAAATAAAAAGTATACTCAATTACTTATAATTGCAATTTCATTTTAGAAATACTTTAAAAATTAATTAACTAATTCAACCACAAAGACAATAAAAATAAGATATTGAAAATTAAGGAAAAATAACCTAAATAAGAAACTTTTAAATTGTTACAGAAAATGAATAAAAAATATTATATTTTGATAGGTTACTGTTTTAATTTGGATTTTGGTTATGTTCAATCATTTTGGGTTTTAAATAACTACTAAGTATCCACTTTTAAAATCAATCGAAATTGAGTCAAATTAATTCATTTTTATTATTATGTATATTATTTTATTTTTAATTAAATTAAAATTTAAAATGAGTCAAAATTTTATTTATACTCAATTTGAGTTTTGAATTGTTTCAAATTTGAATTAATTAATCAATGTTATTTTAGCTATACTTTTATGATATCAATATAAAATTTAAAAATAGAACGAGAATACAACACAATAAAAATTTAAGTGAAAAAATACAAGGATACTAATAATAATTAAAGAAGAAAATCTCATGTCCAAGTCTTGTAGAAATTAAGGATAAATCTTCTTTTGAAGATTTTAAAATTCGTATTACAGAAATATTCATTTAGATAAATGAATTTATAATCGTTCTTTTGTTGATTAAGTTGTTATTATATGGGTTGAGGGGAACAATTCAAACATTTCATTTGAAAGAAATATCATAGATCATATTCAATCAAGAAAACAATTTAGAGTTAAATATTATTTAAGTTATTATAACCTCTTTAATATTCTTTATTCTTTTCAAATGGAGAAGTTGATTGACATCAAAATATAAAAATAAGTCATTTTGAATTATGGTAACAACAATAAAGTAATAATTAAAAATATATCATTTTGTTGTTTAGTAGAAAAAAATTTTATGCAAAATGTGAATGTAATTATTGCGAATTTAATATTTTTTAAAAATTGTGGTTTGTTTAATTTTTATAAAATTTATTTAGTAAATTTGTTCTCATTACTTTTATCATAGATATAACAAAATGTTTACCCAAAATTATATACTTAAAGATAAAAATATGAGGCAAATTTTATTACTTCTATTGATGACAAAATACTTTAAAATTTTTAATCTTTTATATACAATTATACTTCACTAATAGGTATGAAAATATCTATAATTCAATCAAATTATTAATAAAGCTTATCTTAATATGTATTATTTTATCCTGAACTAAAAAATTTGACGAACATCTTAGAAATGTTAACTTAATGTATATTGTCTATATTTATTTAATTTGATTTTAATACTTGCATTAGTATAAAAAAATTATGATTTTAATTTATTATTACGTGTTAAACTACTAATAATAAATTAAAAACATTTACTCATATTTTTCAAATCATTTACATTTGAACTTTTTCTTCCTTATTTCTTTACCTTATGAATTATATCATCCAACATACATTGTGAATGTGATTTTTTTTTTTTTGGATATATATAAATCAGTGATAATATAGTAGTAAATAATTAATACCGTAGTAATTAATTATTAAAAATTTAAATGTAATTAGTATAACTTAGTAGTAATTACTGATAATTTAATAATAAATTAATAATAACTTAATAGTAAATGATTGATAATTTAGTAGTTAATAATTGATAATTTTTTAGTGATCAATACTAATACAATAATAAATGCATAATACTTTAATGGTAAATCAATTATAATATAATTATAAATATATAACAGTATAGTACTAAATTAAGAATAACATAACAAAAAATAAGTGACAACTTAATAATTAACTATTGATAACTTAATAATAAATTAATGATAACTTAATAATACATTAGTAATAATTTAATAGTAAATTTGTTTCAGTTTAATAGTAATTAATTGATAGTAGTTTTTCATTGAAAACTTAAAAGTAAATAAGTATAACTTAATAGTAAATAATTGATAATATAACAGTTAATCAATGATAACTTAATAGTAAATAATGCATAATTTAATATAAAATAGTAATAATTTGATGGTAAATCATAAATAATTTAGTGATAAATCAACAATAATTTTGTGATAAATAATTAAAAATTAAATAGAAAATTAATGATAGTATAATAATAAATAAATAAAAACATAATAATAAATCATTGATAATTTATAAATAAATTGATAACTTAGTTGTAAATAACTAATAATGTAATAATAAAATTTTAATAACTTAGTTGTAAATAAGTAATAATTTAGTAATAAATTGATAATTTTATAGTAAATCACTAATAACGTAATATTAAAATACTAATTACTTAATTGTAAATCAGTGATAGTTTAATAATAAACTAGTTAATCATTTATAACCTTTTAGTAAATCATCAATAAATTAGTAGTAAATTTGTTATAATTTTATAATAAATCATCAATAATTTAATGGTAAATCACCAACAATGATTGGTACATCATTCAAAACTTAACAACAAATCTTTCATAAATTAGTAGCAAATCATTCATAAATTAATAGTATATCATTGATAGCTTAATAGTAAAAAATTGATAACTTAATTATCAATTATTGATAACTTTTATTATACTTAAAGGTATTAGGGATTGAACTCTAAGAACTAGTAGAAACGAAGTTAAAACTTTTATTTTAGAGATTAGGATAAACTTACTATAAACATATTCAATAAAAAATTAGTGAAAAAAATTATAAATTTGAATAAAATAATAATGTTATTGTACAAAACAAAATTATCCTATATTAGAACTGAACCCGCGTTTTCTTATAGAAATTTATTTTTAAACATATGATGACACAAATTTTAGCAATAATTATAAAAAATATATCATAAGTTATTAAAATATTACTAAAATTACATAAGAGGTTACCAAAATTTTATAAAAAATTATCAAAATTTTATTAAAAGTTATCAAAATCAAAATTATATAAAAAGTTATCAAATTTTATTTATATTATATCAATATCAAAATTAAATTATTAATATTTATCATTATTATCATAGCATAAAAAAATTATTTTTTACAATAAAATTTTAAAAATAAAAATTACACACATCATGCACATACCAAAAACTAAGATATATATATATATGTATATATATATATATATTATATATACATATACATATTTTATATATACATATACATAAAAACATTGAGCTAAGTACGCAAATGCTTCCAACTTGCAGTACTATTGGAAAACTGTTTAGCGCACTTTTTTTAGGTGAAATAAATTTGAGGTAGATGAGTTATTCATTCTTTCAGGTCAAGACAAGAAGTGTCATATCTGATAGCGTAAGATAAGTGGCTGTAAATCACGCATTCGAGATGACATCAACAATTGATCACCGACAAGACTCAAACCCAAAATTTTTTCATCGATAATGACGAATTTAATCGATTGAACTAACTACTTATTAGTATTTAACGCACTTAATCATCTGAAAAGTAAGGCGAATTCCCTTGGACAGCTGACAAAATCTAATGAACCTAAGTGGATATTTTGTACATTCAATATTTCTAGAGCCAACAGTCTTACTTTTTTGGCTATAAATAGAACCATGTGAAAATGGTTTTTCACTCATCTGATAAACAGAAAAAAAAAATTAAAAAAAGTGTCTAAAAATTTTCATCAACAATGAGCACTGCTGGTCAGGTTATCCGTTGCAAAGGTGATCAACTTCATCCTATCTGTCTCATATATACTTGGGTCATATGATCAACTATACCTTCTTGTTGGATTCTTTTTTTCTTTCCATGCTCAGTGTTTTGGTATCAAAATCAATTAGACTTCTGGACAATATTTATAATATTTCATGCCACATATAGTATTAAAAATCTAATTTTGATTGTGTATTAGTTGTAGACTGACTTATTGATTGAGATGAATTTGGTAATTAAAATGTAATATTGTGGTTGTGGTTGTAGCTGCGGTGGCATGGGAGGCTGGGAAGCCACTGTCAATAGAAGAAGTGGAAGTGGCACCTCCCCAGAAGCATGAAGTCCGTATTAAGATTCTCTTCACTTCTTTATGCCACACTGATGTCTACTACTGGGAGTGTAAGGTAACCAATCCCCCTTTCTTTTATTTCTGCTTTAAACATCTTTCATGATTGCTTTTATAATTTCTGGGGAAAAAAATGTTTTAATTAACAAAGCACTACGTAATTAAATGATTTTCGAAAAAATCTTTTGCTTTTATTATTCTGTAGTTTCAGTATTTTATATTTGGTTCAGTTAAAAGGTCGATATTGTCTATAAACATTTGTTAAAAAGATAATTAAATTATTTTTTTACGAAAAAATTTTAACATTTACTGCAATAATTCATCAAAATCGAGAAAAAAATGTAATAAATATTATCTTAAATAGAAAAAATGTTAACATCTCCTCTTATGTACTTTGGTTTCTACTTTCTACTTTTTCATTTTTCTAGTCTATTATGAGACAATTGTATTTGTAGTTGAAATACCCATTTTTTTCCTTTTGATTTGGTAGGGTTACACTCCTCTGTTTCCTCGCATACTTGGTCATGAAGCCTCCGGGTATGAAAGCTAATGAATTTCTTTTTTTTTTCACTTAATCTGTAATCTTTCATTACTATTCAATAAAATTACGTAACAAATTAATAATCTTCTCATTCGAAAATTTCTATTAACCAAAAAATATTTATTGTGATATTGTTTTAAATTTTAATACGACATGAATTTTTTAACCTTTGAATTTATTTTTTTTTTAAGTCTTTGCCTTAAATTAAGCATGGTTTGCCTCTAAAGCTTGTTTGTGTGAACTTGGTGGTACATAGGATTGTGGAGAGTGTGGGTGAGGGTGTGAGTGATCTGAAACCAGGTGATCATGTGCTCCCTATCTTCACTGGAGAGTGCAAGGAATGTCGCCACTGCCTGTCAGAAGAAACCAATAACATGTGCGACCTCCTTAGGATCAATTGCGACCGAGGTGTTATGCTTGCGGATGGCAAAACCAGATTTTCCATCAACGGGAAGCCTATCTACCACTTTGTTGGCACCTCAACTTTTAGCCAATACACTGTCGTCCATGTTGGCCAGGTTGCCAAGATCAATCCAAATGCCCCGCTTGACAAAGTCTGCCCTATTAGCTGCGGAATATGCACTGGTTTGAGCCTTGACCGTGGAGAAACGGATAAATGATATGAATGAAAACTGATCAGAAGTCAGATCAGAAGTGAGAAATTTGTTGTTTCACTAACAATATTTGTTTCTCTGCTTTTCTAGGTTTTGGGGCCACTGTGAATGTTGCTAGACCCAAAAAGGGCCAAACTGTTGCAATTTTTGGACTGGGTGCTGTTGGTCTCGCCGTGAGTTATTCTTGTTTCTGTTTTGGTTTTCTCTAGGCAACTTGGAAATGTGTTGGATTGACTTCTATCATTACACGCGTTTTGAAATTTAGGCTGCTGAAGGTGCAAGGGTTTGTGGGGCTTCTCGGATTATCGCTGTTGATTTGAACCCCAGAAGATTCGAAGAAGGTAGCACCAGTTTAGTTGATTTGTTGTTCGGTTCATGATTATAGAGTAAAATTACTAATTGATCATGTTTCTTCTTATTCCTGCTGTCAGCTAAGAAGTTCGGTATTAAAGAATTTGTGAATCCAAAAGATTACAACAGGCCTGTTCAAGAGGTTGGTTCCAGCTTGGAAATTATTATTCATTTTGTATACAGTTCTTTTAGTTTCAACATGCAACTAGGGTGATCCAAGAAACCTACCAATATATGATCTACCAGTTAACAGTTCTGATTTGTGAATCTCATTGTTGTGGCTATTGGCTACACGATTATCGAATTATTGATGCTGGAGAATGTATTAGAGACTATTCTTTCGACAGAGATTATTAACATATTACTGCCAACAATTAGGTGATTGTTGAGATGACTGGCGGAGGAGTGGATCGCAGTGTCGAGTGTACGGGAAGCGTGGAGGCCATGATTTCCGCATTTGAGTGTGTCCATGATGTAATTATCTTATTCAAACCTCCTCTTCTTTGAATAAAAATAATAGTACCTGTTTACATTGTCTGTTTTAGATGAATATATATATATATATATATATATATATATAATGCTTCTTCGCTTTCAGGGTTGGGGTGTTTGTGTACTTGTCGGTGTGCCAAAGATTGATGATGCATTCAAGACTCATCCAATGAATCTGCTGAGTGAGAGGACTCTCAAGGGTGCTTTCTATGGCAACTACAAACCTCTCACTGATATTCCTATGGTTGTCGACAAATACTTGAACAAGGTGATGAGTTTTTATATCCTGTTTCAGATATTCCTCCCCTTACCTATATATATATATATATATATATATATATATATATTCATCACTTTCTTCTCTATACAGAGTACATAACAGGATGATTTTCTTGATGTTGCAGGAGCTGGGGCTGGATATGGACAAGTTCATCACTCACTCTGTCTCTTTGCCCGACATCAACAAGGCATTTGACTACATGCTCCAGGGCATAGGTCTTAGATGCTTGATTCTCATGGATGCTTAGGGAACTGCATGCAGCTTTATATTGCTCCATCCATGGATGAAAACTCTATCTTGTATTATGTGTAACATTTTTGTGTCTATTTAGCTATCTTACCAGGTTATCAAGACTACTCTTATCAATATAAAACTCTAACTATGTAGAGTTTTGTATTATGTGCTGAGAGAATAAATATGTTGCAATAACGTGGTTTGCCGTTATGAAATAAATTTCTACTACTAATATTTTCCAAACTTAGTGGATTCTGATATTTTAATATTCAACTGTAGCACCAGATAAACTTGATAGTTGATAATCATTAGATTTGGAGTTCAAATCGTATTTGTGATCCTTTTATTATTTTTAAATTAAAGTGATATTTTAGAAAATATTACTATCATTGTTTAAAATTTAAAGAATTGAAATCAGTAGATAGTTAAAAATAAGTCTCATTTATAATAATTAAGAAAATGTCGAATTAATGAAAGTTTAAGAACACTAAATAAGATAATAGCTAAATTATTATTTATGATTAAAAAGAGATTAATACAATAAAAATATTTTAAAACCAACAAAACAATTAATGATAATATTTTTAAAAAGAGAAAAATGCCAAAAAAAAAACATTAAATCAATTAAATAATTAGTGAGAAGATACGGAACAGTCCTCCCAATCATAAGCACATCAACCTTCCAGACAAGTACAAGTCCTCAATAAATCCCCATGCCGGTTCTCCTCAGTGGTCCAGGCCCGAGTCCACACGGCCCAGGGGCTGACGCTAGCCCCAGTCTCATCCCTCACCCCATCCAGCGTATATTGATCATGGTCTGGTACGTTGGCAATGCATCCTCGATATATACGTAATTATATCCCCCATCAGCACCACGAAACACTCATCAGGCAGCTCCGCCGCGCGTTCTCTCAGCGCCTTCACTTGGTCATTGAACTCTTCCAATGGCAGTACAGGGTCTGACAGAAAAGTCTGGGATTGCCAGCACTCTTTGACAGGTTTGAGCAATATTGGTAGCCCAGTTTTCTAGCGACTTGAGAAATTCTTGCGTTTCAGGTATGGATTCTGCACATTTTATTGGTCAGTGTAATTTGACGATTGCATAAACTTTTGACTCCGTAAACTTTTGATAAGGAGACTTTTAAGATTATTTAATTAATTAAGTTAAGATTTTTTCTTCACTTTTATGAGATACCGTAACTACTTATTGAATGCAATCAACAAGAAAAAAGCGAAGAGAAAAATCCAGCCATTCTAAGAGTCAATTTGCTTTCGCAAATTTATAATGATTACCTAAATAAATATGTCAAATCATTGTATTTAATTATAGTATTTTAATTGTCACACAATGATTCTTAAGTTGCTTATATGTGATATCAAAGCATGATTGAGTGATATTATGACATTAAATCATGTTAATTATTTTTTTTTATTAATTGCTTGTTTGAAGCAAAATTTGTCGTTGTTAAAAATTTAAATTTCGATCATTATTTTTCAAAATTGTTTAAGGGTTTTTGTTTTTTTCTAAAAAGATTAAAACCATATAAAAATTGTTTTCTAATTCTTTGTATGGAGAGAGAAATCGAAGTTGAAAGTTTTTTGTTTAAAGTTTAGTTCAAAATTTTGTTTTGATTAAAACATCAATATTTTATATTTAATCCAAAATTAATCTTGGATCATGTCTCTAATATGTTATAAACTTAAATCAAAGCATTTATTTTGATAAAATATTGATGTAAGATGATCAAGTACAAAGAAAACAAAAAACAGGTTTCACATGAGTTTGTAGAATCCAAATTTTTTGTCAATTGACCCTGTTTTTGTTGTTTTTTAATGCAATTTTTGCATGAGTTTGATAAAAAAAATCATCTTAATTGAATTTTGGATACTTTCATTTTTTGAAAACACCAAGAAAATGGGTTAAAAATGACCAAAAACATCAAACAGACCCAAAAGTATAAAAGAACCACTCCAATCGGGTTGGGTTAACCTAGCTGGATGTTGAAGAATACCCTCATTGACGTCAGATGAATCCCACGTGTAGAGAGTGGTGTGTGTGGCACATGCAGGCTCGTCTGGTATTCGTTTTTGCTCCGATTTTTTTGGCATGCTTAGAATTTTATTTTTGATTTTTGTATTATTCTTTTGAAATTTTTAAATTGCATGAAATATTTATTGTTTGATATTCATGCATTGTTTAGAAATTTTGTACACATGATTCTTGTTATTTTATTTTATGATAAAATATTTTGACATGTTAGGAGTCTAATAGCCATAGGTACTCGCCTTAAATGGGCCTTAATATTTATGTGCTTTCGAGTAGAATCTTATGTGCATAATTGATTAACTAATTAAAAATTAATTTTAATCAAGTCAATACCCGAGGTTAAATGCGACATATACTATTTATAGGACCTAATGGGCTGCATCTAGATTTAGTATCTTAGCTAGAGTGGTCAATTGCATACATTATGATTGAGTATGCAAACTAAGAATTTTGGATAATTAATGAAATTTTTTTATTTGAAAAATTTTTCATTAATTGATATAAGTGTTTAGCTATCAAAGCGGCTTACTTATTGAAGTTAATGAAATATTTTATTATTTTAAGGTAACGAGATGGTTATTAATCTTATCTTATGCAATTGCCTGCTCAGAGGGGGTTAATGTGTAGGATAATTTTTTTTGAAACATAAAGCATCATGGTTGAAGGTGTACTGATCTTGAAAATCTATTTGCCCAAGGGAATAATATTTTTTGAAAACTAGGATATTCTTATATTAATTTTATGTGAAAAGTTCATATTTGCATGTTCCATTCTCTACCTAAAAGAGAGTTTGTGATTAAGCATCAAGACCTTTCAATACTTGTTAGCACATCATGAACTATTGCTATACATTTCATAATATTACCCATTGACTAATATTGTATTTTTTCTTGAATTGTGACTTTTACTATCAATAACAATCAAGCCACTATTGAAATACTTTATGAGTCTAACTATAAAAGATGGAATGAAGATTTGAACTTCTCTTTGGTTATGGGTGAGATTGATATAGCCTTTAATTTTTCAAAAGCTGTTGATCTTACGAATAAAAATACTGTTGAACAAAAGGAATTGCCAAATGGGAAAAGGACAAATTATATGTGTCTGTATGTCATTAAGAAGTCTGTCTCTGAATATTTTTTGAGTGAGTTAGATATCATAGAAGTTGCTAGAGATCTCTACAATACTATAGGTAATAAATACCAAAAATCCTGTAAGATTGAGGCTGGGAACCTTATAAGTAAGCTTATGAGTATGAAATATGACAGTGTAGGGGGTGTTAGAGATTTTATCATAAGAAAAGTCCACATTTAAACCGAATTGACCTCATATGAAATTGTCTTCCCTGACAAATTCATTGTTCATCATGTTTTTAATTCTTTACCTATTGAGTTCACCTAAATCAAAACTGCCTATAATGCTATGAATAAGGTTTGGAGTGTTAATGATCTTATCTCAAATGTATTTCTGAGAAAGAAAAATTCAAGAAAAAAAAAAGAGAAAAAGTACACATCTTGTTACCTACTCCAAACCTAATTACTAAAAGAATTATGGAAAATCTAGGACATCTATTCCTAATGCCCATAAGAAAGTTTAGGATAACAAAGAATAGGACAGTGGTTAGACTAAAGGGGTAAGAGGTCCTAAAAACTATCTTTGAGAAAGATATCAAGTATTTTTCCTACAAGAAGAAAGGTCATATGAAATATAAGTGCCCCAAATATAAAGCTTGATTAAAGAAAAAAATAAATAAAAAGGTAACTCATTAGCTCTAGTTTGTTTTGAATTTTATTTTATTAGTGCTCCATCGAATTCGTGGCGGCTTGATAGTGGTGTAGCTGTTCATGTTGCTATTACCTTGCAAGGATTCAAAAGCAAATGTAAGCCAAGTGAGAAAGAGGCCAAACTTAAAGTTAGAAACAATGCATAAGTAGATATTAGTTATGTACGAACAATATGCTTAAATTTGGAATTTGGTTTTGAACTTATTTTAGAAAATGTTTTTTATGTACCTTCGTTTAGAAGGAATTTGACTTCGATTATTGTTTTTGACAAACATGGTTACTATTTTAGCACTAGAAATGAAAAAAATTGATTTGTTTTTAAATTCAAATGTTGTTGATAAATTTAAATTAGTTAACAATTTAAATAAACTACGTTTGACCTATAATAATGAATAAGTTGCAATAACATTGAAAAGACAATGTTTAAAAGATCTTTAACTGGAGAAAACTCTTCCTTGTTATGGCATAAAAAGTTAGGTCACATTTTTAATGAAAGAGTACAAAGATTGATAAAAGATGTTATTTTATCTTCCATTGATTTTAAAAAGTTAAACATTTGTGTTGATTGCATAAAGGGGTAAACTAACACTATAGGTGAATAGGTTTTTAGCGACTTTTTTTTCATGTTTAGCGGCTGCTAAATGATCTACAGCGTTTGCTAAAAATGCCACTAAGAGCATTAGCTATACTTGCTTTAGGAAAAATAGCAGCGGCATTTTGGAAAGGTTAACGGTGTTTGTGTGCCAAAAAACTGTTCAAATTAGAAAAATTAGCAGCGTTTATATTAAAAAATGTCGTTAAATTTAGTAGCATTTTTTGACACAAATGCCATTAATTACTATAATTTAGTGGTGTCTGTACTTACAAATATAGCTAAATTTAACAACATTCTCGAATATAAATGTCGCTAAATTTAATAGTTATTTTCATTACAAATACCGCTAAATTAAGAAATTTATTTTTTTATTTTTTTTATTTCTTTTAATATTTACTACTATATTAAATAAAAAATATTAAAATAAATAAAAATAAATTTAAATTCATAAACATAATATTATAAATATTTAAATATCTAAATATATAATTTGTTTTAATACAATAACAATCAAATCGTTTCAATTCATTAACTAAAAATTTAAAATATATGAAATTGATGGCCGTTTAAACTTAGAGTACTGTCATTTGATGAAGGATTTTTTTCATCATAATCACTAACGTGTTCAAAAACTTTTTGAATAGAGTAAAACAAGTTTTTACATTTAATAATAAGCTTTTTTATATTAAAAAATAAAAATAGTTACTAGATATAATACCTAAGTTGATGTACTACCTAGATTGGTTTTTGAAAATTGTTGTTGCATAAAATTCATAAAAGTATTAAATCAATCATGCCACTATTGATGATATAACCA